AACATTGTCATTGTAATAGTCACCAGCATGGCTTGCAATAGCTGTGTTAGGGTGATTTTCATCCATAAAGGTTTGCAGTTCAACCCACTTTGCACACATTTCCTTAATCTTTGAAGTAGGCACAATGGATTCCACAACTGGCATAGGCTTCTCAGGGTTAGCCCCAAACCCTTCAAAATCTTTCTTAATTTCCATACTAATTCTCACCCTTTTTACCACAGGGTTTGCACTAGAAGCTTTCTTGGGGGGATAAGGTGAAATGTACCAAATGTATGCCTGGATGCGACCGCACTGACTGGCTTGTAAACACTGGCACCCACAGGGCAGCTGAGGCCACATATGGGATGCGTCCCAGACGAATCATGTAAGGCGAGTTTTTTATCGTGAGTTGAGGCAAAATTTTTGCGTTCAAATGCTTCATATGGCGGATTTAACGTAACGCGATGCGTTTGTAAGGCAGGGGTCCACTGTACTTTTAAAGATACACAACATATCCTTCCAAACTGCCAATATCCCGAACCCCTCCTTTAGAGCGCAGGCATTGTACTTTCCATTTCCAAGACTCAAGTCCGGCTATATAAAAATAACCAGTTTCCCGAATCCCTTCACTAAATATTACCCTGCTCACACTCCAACAGATCATCAGGTCCCAAATACCATTTGTCTCCATTCACTCCTATCTAACATGCTCACGTACGCTTGCTGGAAGTCCAAGCCCCTCGCCCACAAAACCTCCCTTAGCCCTTCCTTCCAACCTTTTCGAGGACAACCCCTACCCCACCTTCCTTCCCCTACAGATTTATACGCTCTCCATGTCATTCTACTTTGATCCATTCTCTCTAAATGACCAAACCATCTCAACAACCCTTCTTCAGCCCTCTGACTAATACTTTTATTTACTCCACACCTCCTAATTTTCACACTCCGAATTTTCTGCATAATATTTACACCACACATTGCCCTTAGACAGGACATCTCCACTGCCTCCAACCGCCTCCTTGCTGTGCATTCACAACCTAAGCTTCACACCCATATAAGAGTGTTGGTACTACTATACTTTCATACATTCCCTTCTTTGCCTCCATAGATAACATATTTTGTCTCTACATATACTTCAATGCAACACTCACTCTTTTTCCTTCATCAATTCTATGATCAACGTCATCCTTCATAAATCCATCCGCCGACACGTCAACTCCCAAGTATCTGAAAACAATTCACTTCTTCTATACTCCTCCCCAATTTGATATCCAATTTTTCTTTATCGAAATCATTTGATACCCTCATCACCTTACTCTTTTCTATGTTCACTTTCAACTTTCTACCTTTACACACATTCCCAAACTTATCCACTAACCTTTGCAATTTTTCTTTAGAATCTCCCATAAGCACAGTATCATCAGCAAAAAGCAACTGTGTCAATTCCCATTTTGTATTTGATTCCCCATAATTTAATCCCACCCCTCTCCCGAATACCCTAGCATTTACTTCTTCTACAACCCCATCTATAAATATATTTAACAACCGTGGTGACATTACACATCCCTGTCTAAGACCTACTTTTACCGGGAAGTAGTCTCCCTCTCTTCTACACACCCTAATCTGAGCTTCACTATCCTCATAAAAACTCTTTACAGAATTTAGTAACGTACCACCTATTCCATATACTTGCAACATCTGCCACATTGTTCCGCTATCCACTATCATATGCCTTTTCTAAATCCATTAATGCAATAAAAACTTCCCTATCTTTATCTAAATACTGTTCACATATATGCTTCAATGTAAACACTTGATCTACACATCCCCTACCCACTCTAAAACCTCCTTGCTCATCCGCAATCCTACATTCTGTCTTACCTCTAATTCTTTCAATAATAACCCTACCGTACACTTTTCCTGGTATACTCAGTAAACTTATTCCTCTATAATTTTTCCAATCTCTTTTGTCCCCCTTCCCTTTATATAAAGGGACTATACATGCTCTCTGCCAATCCCTAGGTACCTTCCCCTCTTTCATACATTTATTAAACAAAAATACCAACCACTCCAACACTATATCCCCCCCTGCTTTTAACATTTCTGTCATGATCCCATCAGTTCCAGCTGCTTTACCCCCTTTCATTCTACGTAATACCTCACGCACCTCCCCCACACTCACATCCTGTTCTTCTTCACTCCTAAAAGATGGTATACCTCCCTGGCCAGTGCATGAAATTACCGCCTCCCTTTCTTTGTCGACATTTAAAAGTTCCTCAAAATATTTTTGCCATCTACCCATACATATCTAAGCAAATTATGGGGGTTAACAAGCACTGTAAGATGTTAGTGTTGAAGTATACAAACATGATTATCATCAGGCTTAGTCACTGTCTGCTGACACATGGATAATGTTGATGTAAGTTTGTGGAGCATGAAGGGTATATAAGGAACTGCAATGTGAAAATTAAAATCTAGTGGTGTTGACTTCCTCTCAGGTTTACAGGAAAGAAAGGAGGGGAAGAGATGTAGCCACCCGGACACATGTACAAGGGATGACCAGTGGCAGCTCATCCATAGGAGCTGCAGTATCCCCAGGTGGTCACTGCCAGACGTATGACTTCATCAACCTTATGCTAAAAAAATTTGCAACTGACAAATATATTACAGGAAAAATTTGTTATATGTTGTTGTCAATGTATTTATAAGATAATTTTTTATTTTTTTGTTGAAACGAGATAAAAAATTATTAAAAATAGATGTTAGGTATTACTGGTGTTACATCTGGCAGTGAGGAACTACATTCGATGCAGCACACACCCAGTTGCAACTGGTCTGTTTACATTGTGTGTATGCGCATTGTAATGTGTGGCATGTATTGGTGTTGGGGCCCTTTAAATTCTTTTCAAGAGCATTAAATTTAATTAGCATTTGATAAACAGTGGCAGTGGAAACTAGAGTAAACTCAGTTAAATATTTACAAAGTATTAACTTTTCGCAGTTGATTTTCAATAAAAAAGTAAAGATTAAATAAAAAGGACGACATACACCAGTTTTATCCATTCTACAAAAATATACAAACAGGAGCAAAGAATATACGTGCCAGTTTAGCGCTAGTGTTTACCGAAAAGTGAATGGCTTTGTGGCTTTGACAAAAAGAATGCTTTATTCTGTTTTCCATCTAAAAAGTGGCATGACTGACTTGAGGCATTTACCACAAAAAGTAATGAAACATGAGCAGTCAACCTAGCATATAAATAACGTTATTGCTTTGTCAATGCTGGGTGAAGTGAACAATGCAGCTCAAATTGATTCAGCATATAAAATTTCGATAGCGAAACACAATTTCAAATAGTTGTAACATCGTTACCTCAGCTAGCCATGTCTCCACCAGCAGAACTGTGACGACCTCTACGGGTACGAATATGTGAACGCTTATCACTATTAAATTTAGTTTAATTTTATTATTTTAATAACGTTTATTATGCTGTTCTATGAGGCTTGCAGTCACACAGTCCCCCCCATTCTATTTTTTGATGAGCCGCCACTGGTGATGACCAATTGTTGTGGCATTGTCAACAGGGTTTGCAATGCTAACACCAGACAAGCCTGACCCATGGCCGGGCTCCAAGAGTAGCAAGACTCTCAAAACTCATCAAAGGTCTATCAAAGGTACACCACCAACTTTAAGAATGGGAAAGGGGTTTGAAGAGTACTTGCCAGTCAATTTCTGTACCTTATTTTCAGACTGTACACACAGAGGTAGTGGTAGTGACAGTGGACACATAAGCTTGCCAACAAGAATGTTTTGCCGCCCAGATAATGTGACGTGCAATTGTTCTCACTTGTTTAAAAGCTATGAAATGGTCCACAGAACAGCATGAGAACAGTCAGAAGACAACTGGGAACATATTTCCAATATGTTTACCTGAAGTTTGGGGAATTGCAATTGATAACAAAGGTAATAGTTATTATTAAATGCATTACATTACAGGAATTTGGATATCCTAGTATGTATAAGAACATAAAAAAGAAATACTGCAGTAGGCCTATTGGCTAAGGCTAGGCAGGTCCAACTCTCAAACCCAATCACATATCTGTTCAACCTATATTTGAAGGTACCCAAAGTTCTTGCCCTAATGACACTATATGGGAGTTGGTTCCACTCACCTACAAATCTATTTCTAAACAAGCATCTCCATCTATTCTTTCTTATCTAGGTTTGTTCAACTTCAATCCATTGCTACAAGCCCTGTCTTGGTTAAGATGCTTTTAGCATGTTAATAATGTTCCCATATATTTATTCATTTTTCATTTATACATTTCAAAAATATCTTCCCTAATTCTATGGCTTTCCCAAGTTCAAATTCAGCACCTTCAGCTTATCTTCATAGAAAAGATGTCTAATAAGTGGGATCAACTTCATTATCCTTCTCTGTATCCGACAAGATTTTCCTTTCAAAACTTGAATGCCAGATAACCAGAATTTTACTATTTTATATTCATTACATAATTACAGTAATTATAGGTAGTAGGTTGGTAGACAGCAACCGCCCAGGGAGGTACTACCGTCCTGCCAAGTGAGTGTAAAACGAAAGCCTGTAATTGTTTTACATGATGGTAGGATTGCTGGTGTCCTTTTTTCTGTCTCATGAACATGCAAGATTTCAGGTATGTCTTGCTACTTCTACTTACACTTAGGTCACACTACACATACATGTACAAGCACATATATACACACCCCTCTGGGTTTTCTTCTATTTTCTTTCTAGTTCTTATTCTTGTTTATTTCCTTTTATCTCCATGGGGAAGTGGAACAGAATTCTTCCTCCGTAAGCCATGCGTGTTGTAAGAGGCGACTAAAATGCCGGGAGCAAGGGGCTAGTAACCTCTTCTCCTGTATATATTACTAAATGTAAAAGGAGAAACTTTCGCTTTTCCTTTTGGGCCACCCCGCCTCGGTGGGATACGGCCGGTGTGTTGAAAGAAAGAAAGAAAGAATTACAGTAATAAAAACTCACCATCATTTTCCTGTTTGACATTAGTAGGATTGTTCCCTCTTCGTTTGGGGACAAGGGCATGGTCAGGGTGAGTCATCATTCCCCGCACACTAAGGTTCTCATGGACACTGGATCTGTTGCATGGCTTTCTAGGTTTGTTACCAGTTTCCTATGACAAAAAGTTAAGAAAGAAATGAAAGTTAAATTATAAAAATAATAAATTCTATAATGTTTATTATGCTCTAAAGGTTTTTTAAATAAAAGCATTCATTTACTATAAAGCTGTGACAATATATATTTTTTACTTAATTAGTCGTCTTTCACTAAAGAGGAGTGACCCCAAAAAAGGAAACAATTTCACCATTATTCAGTCAATTACTGTCTTGCCTGAAGTGTGCTGACATTACATCCCCACCCCTCCTTCAAAATACAAACACTGTCCTTCCCATTTCCAATACTAAATGCTGAATCTTTTCATAAATGTTACTTCACTCACACTTCAACAGCACATTTAGCATTAAAAACCACTTTTCTCCAATCTAACATGCTCACAAAAGCTTGCTGAATTCTCAAGCCCCTAGCTGTCAAGCCTTCCTTTACTCCTTCCTTCCATTCCAAGTTTATATACCCCTCTCCATCCTTTCTAAATTCCTGAACCACCTCAATACTGCGGTCCTTCGAATTACAGTGGACCCTCGGTTATCGGCCGTAATCCGTTCCAGAAGGTCGGCCTAAAACCGAAATAATATTTCCCATAAGAATTAATGTAAATACAGATTTAAATGCTCTCCATGTCATTCTACTTTAAATGGATCAAAGTAGAATGACATGGAGAGCATTTAAATCTGTAGGAGAAGGAAGGCGGGGTAGGGGTCATCCTCGAAAAGGATGGAAGGAAGGGGTAAGGGAGGTTTTGTGGGCGAGGGGCTTGGACTTCCAGCAGGCGTGCATGAGCGTGTTCAATGATAAGAGTGAATGGAGACGAATGGTATTTGGGACCTGACGATCTGTTGGAGTGTGAGCAGGGTAATATTTAGTGAAGGGATTCAGGGAAACCGGTTATTTTTATATAGCCGGACTTGATTCCTGGAAATGGGAAGTACAATACCTGCACTCTAAAGGAGGGGTTTTAGGATATTAGCAGTTTGGAGGGATATGTTGTGTATCTTTATATGTATATGCTTCTAAACTGTTATGTTCTGAGCACCTCTGCAAAAACAGTGATTATGTGTGAGTGAGGTGAAAGTGTTGAATGATGATGAAAGTACAGTGGACCCCCACATAACGATGGCATCACATAGCGATTAATCCGCATACCGCTTACTTTAATCGCAAAAATTTTGCCGCGCATACCGATTAAAAACCCGCTCACCGATTTTCGTCCGAGACGCGTCCAATGTGCGCCCTCAGCCAGCCTCACATGTGCCGCCCGTGCCATTGTTTACCAGCCAGCCTCCGCGGTAACATCCAAGCATACACTCGGAATATTTCGTATTATTACAGTGTTTTCGGTGCTGTTTCTGGAAAATAAGTGACCATGGGCCCCAAGAAAGCTTCTAGTGCCAACCGTACACCAATAAGGGTGAGAATTCCCATTGAAATGAAGAAAGAGATCATTGATAAGTATGAAAGTGGAGTGCGTATCGCCGACCTAGTCAAGTTGTACAAGAAACCCCAATCAACCATCGCTACTATTGTGGGCACCAGAAAGACAATCAAGGAAGCTGTTCTTGCCAAAGGTTTAACTGTGTTTTCGAAACAAAGATCGCAAGTGATGGAAGATGTTGAGAGACTCTTATTGGTGTGGATAAATGAAAAACAGCTAGCAGGAGATAGCGTCTCTCAAGCGATCATTTGTGAAAAGGCTAGGAAGTTGCATGAGGATTTAATTAAAAAAATGCCTGCAACTAGTGATGATGTGAGTGAATTTAAGGCCAGCAAAGGTTGGTTTGAGAGATTTAAGAAGCGTAGTGGCATCCATAGTGTGATAAGGCATGGTGAGGCTGCCAGTTCGGACCACAAAGCGGCTGAAAAATATGTGCAGGAATTCAAGGAGTACATAGACAGTGAAGGACTGAAACCTGAACAAGTGTTTAATTGTGATGAAACAGGCCTGTTCTGGAAGAAAATGCCAAGCAGGACCTACATTACTCAGGAGGAAAAGGCACTCCCAGGACATAAGCCTATGAAAGACAGGCTTACTTTGTTGATGTGTGCCAATGCTAGTGGTGATTGCAAAGTTAAGCCTTTATTAGTGTATCACTCTGAAACTCCCAGAGCGTTCAGGCAAAAGAATGTCCTCAAGGATAATTTGTGTGTGCTGTGGAGGGCAAACAGTAAGGCATGGGTCACTAGGGACTTTTTCTATAACTGGTTACACCATGCATTTGCCCCCAATATGAAAGATTACCTAACTGAAAAGAAATTAGACCTTAAGTGCCTCCTGGTGTTAGACAATGCCCCTGGTCATCCTACAGACGTGGCAGAGCGACTTTATGGGGACATGAGCTTCATTAAGGTGAAGTTTTTGCCTCCTAATACCACTCCTCTCCTGCAGCCCATGGACCAGCAGGTTATTGCAAACTTCAAAAAACTGTACACAAAAGCTCTGTTTGAAAGGTGCTTTGTAGTGACCTCAGAAACTCAACTGACTCTAAGAGAGTTTTGGAGAGAGCACTTTAATATCCTCAATTGTGTAAACCTTATAGGTAAGGCTTGGGAGGGAGTGACTAAGAAGACCTTGAACTCTGCTTGGAAGAAACTGTGGCCAGAATGTGTAGACAAAAGGGATTTTGAAGGGTTTGAGGCTAACCCTGAGAATCCTGTGCCAGTTGAGGAATCCATTGTGGCATTGGGAAAGTCCTTGGGGTTGGAGGTTAGTGGGGGGATGTGGAAGAGTTGGTGGAGGAGGACAATGAAGAACTAACCACTGATGAGCTGATAGATCAACTTCAAGAGCAAGAGGCCAGACCTGGGGAAACTGGTTCAGAGGAGGGGAGAGAGAAATTGAAGAAGTTGCCTACTACAAAGATAAAGGAAATCTGTGCAAAGTGGCTTGAAGTGCAAACCTTCATGGATGAAAATCACCCTCACACAGCTATTGCAAGCCGTGCTGGTGATTATTACACTGACAATGTTGTGAAACACTTTAGGCAAGTCATAAAGGAACGAGAGGTACAGGCCACTATGGACAGATATCTTGTGCGAAAGAAGTCCAGTGACTCTGAAGCTGGCCCTAGATGGCATTAAAAGAAGAAGGGAAGTAACCCCAGAAAAGGACTTGCTACCTCAAGTCCTAATGGAAGGGGATTCCCCTTCTAAACACTAACACTCTCTCTCCCCTCCTCCCATCCCATCAATCATCACCAGATCTTCAATAAAAGTAAGTGTCATGTAATTGTGCATGCCTTTTTCAGTTTGTGTGTATTAAAATTAACATTTCATGTGGTAAAAAAATTTTTTTTTCATACTTTTGGGTGTCTTGCACGGATTAATTTTATTTCCATTATTTCTTATGGGGAAAATTCATTCACATAACGATTATTTCGCATAACAATTACCCCTCTTGCACGGATTAAAATCGTTAACCGGGGGTCCACTGTATTTTCTTTTTGGGATTTTCTTTCTTTATTGGGTCACCCTGCCTCGGTGGGAGACGGCCGACTTTTGAAAAAAAACAAAAAACAATTAATCTGTTCCAGACACCTAAAAATATTAACAAAAAATACATTTTTTAAAGGTTAATTATAGTTTTACATACACAAAACAATGAGAACTAAATAAAATAAATAAATGAACATTTAAATCACTATTACATACCTTTATTGAAGACTCTTGTTGGCTTATGGAAGACAGGGAGGAGGAGAGAGGGAGGACTGATTATTGTTTGGAAGGGGAATCTCCCTCTATAAGGACTTCAGGTATCAAAGCCCTCTCTGGGGTTACTTCCCTCCCTGCCTGCTACACTCCTTGCTTTCCTCCTACACTCCCTACTACACCCTGCCTCCCTTCCACACTCCCTGTTTCCTTGCTACACTCATTGCCTCCCTTCCACACTCCCTGTTTCCCTGCTGAACTCCCTGCCTCCCTTCCACACTCCCTGTTTCCCTGCTACACTCCCTGCCTCCCTTCCACACTCCTTGTTTCCCTGCTACACTCTCTGCCTCCCTTCCACAGCATATGTGTAAAGAACCTAGGATAACCCAAAAAAGTCAAACAAAGTGACTTATTTCCACTGGAGTCTTGCCTCCCTGCTACACTCCCTGCCTGCCTGCTGCACTCCCTGCTTTCCTGTTACACTCCCTGCTAAACTCACTTTCACAATATTAGCTTCCTTGATATTTGGATGAACGAGCAGAAGTGTCCTCACTTGCCCAGAGACCAGCCAGACTGACTCGCGAACGCAGGAGGCGGGTTGACGCGTCCCATACAGACAATAAGCGAAATAACAGCTGATAACCGAGTTGGCCAATAAGTGGAACAGCCGATAACTGAGGGTCCACTGTACATACTTGGTGACCCCACACACTTCTAATTTCTACACTCTGATTCTCTGCATAATATTCCCACCACACTGCTCTCAAATATATCATCTCCACTCCCTTTAACATCCTTCATGCTGCAACATTCAAAGCCCATGCCTCACATCCAGATGAAAGTGCTGGAACCACTCTGCTCTAGTACATTCCCTTTTTTGCCTCCAGTGATAAACTTCTGTCTTTCCACAGACACCTACACACACCACCTACCTTTTTCCCCCTCATAAACTCCTCTCTTCTACGTGCGGGTTATTTGTGTATAAATAAAGATACCCAAATGTTGCATAAGTGTCTCATTCATTAACTTCTCAGTTTTCTAAAACCATGTACACTAACTATTACTACATTATCATGGTTATAGAACTAACCGGAAATTATCTAACATTATCCATCCCTTAAAACAAAGAAATTAATATGTAAATCATGGTAACCATATATAATACCTTCTCTGGAGCAAGAGAATTCCTGCGACTAAAACCCCCCAAAATGCCAGATGACTTGTCACTACTATTGTCCGTCTGAAAAGAAAAAACATGACAAACTATGTTTTACAGTCTAAACAAAAGCAAAATAATTTTATGCATTTATATTACGACATTTAGCAAATTCAAATTTTTCATTTAACTAATACATGCAAAAAATATATCTTTCAATAGTACAACATATTGTACATGAATAGAGAAATTTTATCTTTAAAGAGCTAATAGAAAACTAAAACATAAGATGGTACAGTCTAATGTACAAATTTGGTTAACTAATTTCAATTCCCAATATTTAAATTAATATGCAACATTTTATGTAAATTTAACATTAGCTAAGTATAGTTCCTTTTTTTTTCTGAACCACAGCAATGTAAATGTCAGCTTTCTACTGCTGAAATATATGAATATACATACTACTTACTCTGGATGATCTAGCATCAAAGTCTAGGATTCCAAGCTCATCAAAATTTTGTTCAGACTTCCCTTTCAGTAAGTCTTCAAATACACGGTTGGTAATTTCATCAAGTGTGCTCCCTCTTTTTTTCTGTCTTCCTGGTTCAAACCCCCATTCTATAAAGTTAAAATTTTATCTTAGTTGAAATATCACTGTAATATCTAAATGATCTTAAAAATTCAATTATTATGAGTATAGTGGTCCCTGGAGTTACGATTTACCCTCATGGAGGAATTTTGTTTGTAGTTGCAATTAAAAATGGGTGATACAATGTGTACAATGGTATGGACTATTGTGGGTCACAGCCTGGAAAACAAGACTAACCTAATTTGCTTGAAATTCTCTGCATATCCAGGGGTTTCTACATATACAGTAGTATGCCAGTGATGTCAGCTAGGTCTGCAATAGTTGTATCATATACTTGTAGAAATGAAGATTATTAATATTATGCCTGGTCAATAGCCAAGTTTGTACTGTACTACAGTTTGAAGGTATTACGAGTGTTTACACACTAATTCTGGATTATTTACCCTTCATAACTGCATCTGTGTTATAATTACTACATCTTTTATGTTAACAAGTTATCATGGCCCCTAAAATGTGCAGCAAAAAGGACATTTCTCTGAAGATCAAGCAAGAAATTAGTGCATTGGTACATGAGTATCACTTTCCCCAAACAACTATCTCTGATATTATCAACTAAACAGAAATAATAAAGAATATTAAAGTGCTTGACAAATCTAAATTAGTAAAGAAAGGCCGAGAAATTATCAAAGAACTGGAAAGATTGTTGTTATTATGGATACGAGAGAAGCAGATGAACGGAGATAGTGACTATAATTTATATCTAACAGTGTGTAAGGTACAGTAAAATTTGCACTTCTGGTATCTTGGAATGAATTTTGATTAAACCATGTATTTTGGGGTTTCAGTTACAAAAGTTGGAGGTACATATAATATGTCCTCTGGAATGGATCAATATCATAACTCAAGGGAACACTGTATTCTGCAAAGTACTATAATAGAAAACTTAATGACACAAATGCTCTCTAATTCTTACTCATATGTATATAGTATGTAAGAAGATACTTCTGTTAACTATGAACTAATTACAACATATATTTTTTAGAGGTCTCACCCTTGACTTCCTCTTTTGTTCGGACCACAAGTCTATCACCATCCAGCTCATTAACATGGCACTTGAGATTCACACCCTTTTCATCTCCAACCTTCAAAAAAAAAAACAATATATAAAAATTTAACTTGAACATATCAGTCTCAGTATTATAGATTTAAAATAATTTTACCATAAATTATGCTATACAGTCAAATTCATGATTCAGTGAACCCTCAATTTAATGGACTAATAGGGAAATGGGGATGTATACTAAAGCCAACTGTCTCTTAAATCTGAATTACGAGAATATTTTTTTGTGATTGTAACAATAAGACATTTTTTTAATTTAAAGAGTTAAGCTTGTTAAATCTGAAAGTAAATTTACCTAGTGGACTGCAACAATAACAGATAATGCTGAATTTAACAAACTTTGTCTGCTGAATTGAAACTGTCCTTAATAAAATGGACAATTCTGAGTTAACAAAGGCTGTTCAATCCAAATTCTATTTACCAAGTTGACCATAAGAAGAATAGATAATTCTGGATTTAAGAGACTGTTACTTTCCATTGTTGTCTGGCCACAGATTCTCCATTAAATGTGAAATTCCATTAAAACAAGGATTTACTGTATAGTGTTCTAAATTTATGGATTCAAATTGTATGTGTAATATTAAACGTTTTTTTACATGAGGGTTTTCTACAAATAATTTAAAAAATTCAAGGTTTTTATGCAGTGTCCATTCTGTTTTGGCTTAGAGCACAACCCATAAACTGAAAACTAACCAAGACAGTCAGCCAGGCCCATAGTATGTATATACAGGCATCAACCTCTTCTACTACAGCGCAAACACATACAGGAGACCGTTATTTAACACAGGTTTATTTGGCACGTTTTGGTTATAGCATTGTTGAAAATTTCCAGCACAATTTTATACAACACAACACTTTGTAAAATTAACTTAACACAGTTCGGTTTGCAGGAGGGGAAAATTTTGGAGCGTTGCCCTTGCCCGCGGGATACTTCTGGCTGTGGGTTAGACCTCTGAGTCAACGGAGGAGACCTACCGTTATCCCCTGCCACCCTCTGCCACCCCCACCACCCTTGCCCCAGTCTTTGGTTCATACGCATGTAGAACCATCCTCTTCTAGGAGCTAGCTGTGTTTATTTTTGTTTGTGGATTGAGTTTAGATCTTAAATCTGCCAAGCAATCATGGCACCCAGTAGGCATACAAGTGTGCTGAAAGTGGCAAGAAAAGGTTTAAGTGTTTAAGTCTAGGAGTTACGAAGAAAATCAAGATATCAGACAAGCTTAAGGTGGCTCGTGTGGTGGATATAGTGAGGGCCTATAACCTTAATGAAGCGTCAGTTTGTACAATTAAAAAGAACGAGGTGAATATACAAGCTTGTGTAATGAATAATCCAAGATGTCATCTCATATATCTGGGGCGCTAGCGGTAAGATAAGAATGTATATAGTATATATACATTTGGACCGTTTAGGGGTTAAGCATCACTTTATTCCTGAAATCAAGTTTTACCTGCACAGCAAGAACCTTGCATTCAAGGCTCTCTTCATTCTTGATAATTCCCATACTCATCCACAAGCTTTGCTGGATGTGACCCCGCATGTAAAAGTTGTATTTTTACCTCCAAGTACAACATCTCTAATATAACCAATGGATTAGGGAGTTATTAAGTCATTCAAGTGTAACTACACAAAAAAAGTTATGAAAAACTAGTTGCATCAATGGACTCTGACTGCAACCTGGCAGTAGCAAGCTTCTGGAATAAATTTAACATTGCAGATGCCATCAGCTATGCTAGAAGTGCAAGGAATAAAGTGCCCCAAACAACATTAAATGCAGGCTAGGGAATGTTATGGCCTTCTGTAGTTAATTCTTTCACTGGTTTTCCCTTGCTTGACAGTCAGGTTCAGGAAATTGTTCAGCTGGCAAAGAGACTACCAGGTGATGGTTTTAAGATGTGAATGAGCTCTTATAAGATGATAATGATGAAGACAGAGGTCCAGAAGAAATGTTGGCAGAGCTCGATGCAAAGATGCAACGGAGCCACATAACAGAAGAAGATGAAGAAGAACCTGAAGAAAAACAGTTAATGCTGCAGCAGTTACATGAGCAGTTCCATATTATTGGCAAAGTTGCAGACTTTTTCACTGAAGAGGATCCTGACAAATCTAGAAGCAGTGCTTTGAAACGTCAGCTGTATAATGTACTGCAGGGTAAAAGAGCCCAGAGATCCATTACAGAATTTATGCACACTCCAATACAACCACTGACTTTAGTACCAGACCCTCTACTATCCACTTCTGCTGACAATCAACAACCATCCACCTCGGTCCACTCTCTTCACAATCATTCACTAACACCATTACCCACAATTTAAGGTAAGAAACACTATTATTTCTATTGCATATGCAGTCTTAACCTTTTGATTGTCGCAACCCCAAATCCTGAGGTGTCTCCTGGTGTTGCAAAATATTTGAAAAAAAAAAAAAAATTATTATTTTTTTTCATGAAATGATAAGAGAATCTTTTCCCGATGATAATGACACCAAAAGTACGAAAATTGATGGAAACTTACGGAATTACACCCTTGCGAAGTAGCGACCTCAGCGACATTGACGCATCGGCGACTTCGCCCACTTTGAGCCCTATTTTCGGCCAATTCCATTGTTCGTCGACCAAACTCATAGCTATTTCTTTAGAACTCCATTTGTTCTATCGATTAAGCACAAGAAACTGCCCATTTACTAATTTCAACTACCCAATAAAGTGGTCAGAAATTGACAATTTGGTCAATTTCATGCAAATTAAAAAAATTGTCAATTTCAAAATAGGGTCCAGAATGAGCAATGCAGACATTCCTGGCACTAAAATAACATTTTCTCTGTTTGTAAGTCATGTCTCCAGGTCCCTGTTATAACACTTGCCTTCTATTTTGAATTTTTATTCACACAAAAAATAGAAGATTTACTGTTATGCAGACTACTGCACTATTGTAATAATTGTATAAATAACATCAACCCATTCGTGACTGCGCATTAGAATGGCTAGTTGGACATTTATTGGACAATGACATCATTTGTTTACTCTTGAACATCGGCAAAAATCGAGCATTTCTGCCACTTTGAGCTCCATTTCAAGATCCTTTTCATAGTAAAACCAATCAAAAACACTTCTATTTCTATAATATGTTTTCCATTCTATCAAGTGAGACCAAGAAAACAAGAATACAACCATAAATATTATACAAAAATACACCTCAAAGTCGGTGTTTTAATCCAAAAACAAGGTCGGAGTTTTTTTTTTTCTCATTATGCACTGTGTGCTGCAGGATCTTTTTTATACTGCACACTGACCACACAGACCCATTCTTTCACATGTGGGCCTACCAGCTTTCTCCTGCTTGATTTGAAGCCGCTAGAATTTTTGAGTATATATATGTCAAACACATTGGCTCGTAAGACATATACAGTGGAACCTCTACTTGCGAGAGCATCCATATGCGAGTTTTTCCAAATATGAGCAGTCAATGGGTTGATTTTTTGCTTCCATAAGCAAGCAAAATTTCCATAAGCGAGAATAGGTTACAGGGAGGAGAAGGACTCTATGTAAAAGATACTTTGTTGTACAGAAGTGCTGAATTCTATGAATAATATAGTAGAAATCCTAGGCATTAAAGCTAAAAATAGAAATTTGGTAATTATCCTAGTATATAAACCTCCATGAGCAACTGCTGAGGAATTCAGAGATCAGTTAAGGAAGATAGCCAGCTATCTGGATAGGCTAGAAAATCCCACACCAAATATTTTACTCCTTGGAGATTATCATCTTCCTCATGAGCAGAAATCTAAAGCCAAGACAGCAGTGCCTTAGTGTGCGCAACAAGGCCAACAGTTTACTTGGATTTATCTCAAGAAGTATAAGTAACAGAAGTCCAAAAGTTATTTTACAGCTCTATACATCACTAGTGAGGCCTCATTTAGATTATGCTGCTCAGTTTTGGTCCCCTTACTACAGGATGGACACAGACTCATTAGAGAACATACAGAGAAGAACGACTAAAATGATTTACTGTGTAAGGAACCTCCCGTATGAAGATAGACTTAAAGCCTTAAATCTCCACTCTCTGGAGAGGCGTAGAATGAGGGGAGATATCATTGAAGTGTATAAGTGGATGACGGGCATAAACAAGGGAGATATTAATAAGGTACTGAGGGTGGAACCAGGTAAGAACAGAAACAATGGATTTAAGTTGGATAAGTTTAGATTTAGAAAGGACATAGGTAAGTACTGGTTTTCTAACCGAGTTGTAGATGCGTGGAACAGTCTTCCCAGTAGGGTGATAGAGGCTAGGACCTTGGGTAGCTTTAAGAAGAGATTGGACAAATATACGAGTGGGAGGGACTGGGTTTGATTGGTGTCATTGGGTAAGGGAGTTATTTCTTGGGTAGCTTTAGGTAGAGGTCGTTTTGATAAGGACCTGCTTCACATGGGCCAGTAGGCCTTCTGCAGTGTTCCTCTATTCTTATGTTCTTATAACAACATACTGAAGGGAGAGATATGGAAGGAAGTACAAATAAACCCAGTGAGGAGCAGGGGTGCAGTGGGGACAATAAGGGAACACTGTATCAATATCCGGGGTTCCAGACTATTCAACATCTTACCAGAAGATATCAGAAACATGGCTGGAACAAGTGTAGGAGCCTTCAAGAGGAAACTGGACAAGTATCTTCACCAGGTGCCAGGTCAACCAGGCTGTGATGGATATGTGGGAGCAGCAGGCCTCCAGCAGCAACAGCCTGATTGACCAGGCAAGCACTAGACAAGCCTGGCCCATGGCTGGGCTCTGAGAGTAGTAAAACTCTCAAAACTCTTCCAAGGTACATCAAAGGTATACCCCTAGGGGTTCCTGCACCACAGATTGAGATTACCAGAATACATAACTAGTACCACATATGGTTGAAGACAGAGAAGCTGAATGGAAATAAGATGGAAGCATGTGATGAGTGATATACAGCAGAGTATACATATATTTAAAGTCAATACTGGATAATGTGTTTTATGGATATATAAAATTACATATACATGCTCATAACAGTATGTGCCCAAAGCCTATGCAGCAGAATTACATTTGAAAGATGGTAATTACCTTGTGAACAAACATGAGGTCCAGCTTGTATCCATACTTGAGAAGTATAGGTTTAAGGACATCATTGGTTACCTTATTTGGTTTAGCTTTAACACACACAGTCTTGCGGTTCGGCAAGTCTAACCGAAATATTATTCTTTGCTCCAGTCGAACTTCCATACCACCCAAAACTGAACTATCTTCATTTTTATCCAAGAGCTGATGAAGAAAAATAAAGTACGTAACTACATGAATATTCATCTGTGTGTTTCTCCAAATATTACAAGCAGGGCATATATGACTTTCAATGGAAATAAGGCAACAATAAAATTACTAAAAGCTTGTAATTAACAAACTTGTATAACCTGTAAATAATTAAGTGATACCTTATCTGTTTTGTGTTGATAAACATCAAAAGTAGAATAGGCAAGCCCTCGGCGATCTAGAAGCCGAGTCAGTAATGCCTGTATCGATTCATCATTCCTCACGGCCACCACAGAGTTGCTGAGGTCAGGGAGGATTACACGACATCTACTGTACCCTTCACTTCCACTAAGGCTTCCTAATTCACCACTAGTGAGTGACTGTTGGAGGAAACATGTAAAATGTAAAATGCTCTTCAGTAAAACTAAAAGCTGCTTATGGAAAAAAAACAGCTGATTTAACTACACTTTTTAGTCTGTAAACTTTAGAAGGTTCTTTCCTACTTGAGTCCATCTACCACTTTCTCTGAAAAGAAATATTTTCCATTGTCTTTTCTACATCACTTCTAGGTTAAATTTGTTCTCCACGTTAATGAGCAAAAAAATTTCTCAATGAGGTTTTCATATATTTTCAAAAATTTGCAATTTATTATCATATCTCATATATTCAAGTTATCTGATCAGCTTTTAATAATTTGTGATACTGTAGTTGAGTTAATGCCAAGGTTTATACTGTTATCATTAAAGGCTGTACATTCCTAATCTGGGAAGCAGCAGACATGTTAAAAAAAAAAAAACATACTTCTTTGGACAACGCTCTTCTTCCTAAGGGTAAATCAGAGGAATTGAGAGATGTGCGACTGCCACTGATATCTGAACGGATACTCGACGAATCAGAAGTATTACGTTGATTTTGTTTCTTCCTTCTCCTGTACTCAGCTTCTCCTCTGTCTTTGCTCTTGCTGCGATCCTTGCGATTCCACGGTAATAATGATTTTCGACGACGTTCCTCTGCATCTGATCTGCTTTTTTTCAACTGTAGAAATAAATTAGTGACTGTAGAGTATATCAAACTTGTAAAATCATTAAATGACAATTCTGCACATGAGTGGTGTTAGTAATTCTTTGCATAAATGTAATGTTGTTTCTTTGAATGAACATACTAATGCTTTACGATTCTGTGCATGAAAATAATACTTCACAAGTTTTCTTAAGTTTAAGCAGGCTTTAAAAAATTGAAGAGTACAGCAGAACATTATTAAATAGTATTATAAAACAGTCACACTCTTTCTTCATTCATTTCACATGACTATATTACTGAAGTGTACAATGTCCTCAAGCTTACATACCACAGACTTTTACATTATCATTCCTTATTCTACCTCTTATTTTCAAACTTTACATTTTTCACTGTCACGTTAAAAGTTTCACAATAGTACATTATGGTTAGAGATACTATCAGTCTACACAGTTCTCTGGCTGCATTCTAAGTACTGTCTCTGTCTCTAACCATGGCATGTACTACACAAGCCACTATACTTCCTTGCATCAAACTTAATTACATACCATTCCCCAAGCACTGTATGAGCTGTAGTGGTTATGAACTTACTAACTTTCACTGTGGCATAGTCAAGGGTACCAACTGTTGAATAATTACTAGCATTACTACAGAACTGTATTTCCAAATACAGTACATACTAACATACTGTACATCTCTCCCATTTGCATTTAAATTTCACTTACCTTAACATGCGAGTCTTCTTGTGCAATTCTAAGATCAGGGTCAAGACTGTCATCACCAGGGTAAGGCAGAGTTTGACCTCTCATGTCCCGAGATACACAGTCTTGATACAAGCTTGACTTCAAGAATCGAGAGTAACTGTCAAACTTCATAAGATTGAAAATCTGTTTTTGGGCCTGCAGGAAATATAAACACTGCATTACATACAGTACTTCTAAAAGCTTAAAATACAAAAACACTACAAAAATGCTTAAATGAATGTATATACCACCTCAACAATCTTTCCTCAGCCCTCTGAGGAATCCTGCACCTCATCCTAATCTCCAAACTACGAATTCCCTGCATAATATTTACACCACACATTGCCCTCAGACATGACATCACTGTCTCCAGCCCCCTCCTCACTGCAACATTCACAATCCATGCTTCACACCCATATAAGAGTGTTGATACCACTATACTCTCATACATTTCCCTTTTTGCCTCCATGGATAATTTCTTTGTCTCCACAGATGCATCAACACATCACACACCCTTTTCCTCTCAGCAATTCTGTGGTTCACCTTATCTTTCACAGACCCATCCACTGACAAGTCTACTCCCAAATATCTGAACTCATTCATTTTCTCCATAATCTTTAGAATCTCCCAAAAGCACAGAGTCATTGGCAAAAAGTAACTGTGATAAGTCCTAATTTGTATCAGATTCCATATATTTTAATCCACACCTCTCCCTAACACCCTAGCATTCATTTCTTTTACAACCCCATCTATCACTGGTATCAATGTTATGAAAACAGAAGGAAGTGGGCCTGGTGTCCAAAGACTGACCAATATATTGCATTAGTGACCAAGAATTGTTCAAATTGTTTTAAGAATTTTCAGCCAATTTCATCTCCTGTACTATCTTGGTCAAGCATGGGGAAACTATGGTCTAGAGTGCATACAGACTATGCAGGCCCAGTAGAGGGCAAATATATTTTTTAGCAATTGTGGATTCATTTTCAAAATTCTTAGATGTTGAAGTCACTAGTTCCATGACATACACACTTGCTGCAGAAATCTTTTTGTAATTTTGATAATGTTTTATACTTTGTATCACAAGAACTGGAGGCCTTCTTCATTAAGAATAGTACTGAACATGTTACTCCAGCCTCATACCATCTATCATCAAATGGTCTGGCAGTAAGGACATCGAAGGAAGATTTACACAAATTTGCAAAAGGATCTCTCAATATCAGAATATGTAGATTTTTGTATAATTCACAGGTAAGATACCAGCAGAAATGATGTTTAACAGGAATTTTAAAGTCCCAGTTTCGGCTGTCAAATGTCATGTTAGGAAAGACAAGTCATTGTCTAACACGGCTACTGGTGAACTTCAGGGGGACGAGAAGCAATTTCAAGCTGATGATGCTGTGTGTGCAAAAAAGGGATTTGGTAGTATGATATGGAAAAGGCATACAGATAAACTCATACCAAGGTTTAGAAGTGACAGAGAGCAAACACTGGTCCCAACAGTACCAGAAGCTGGTAATTCCTGGCCAATATAGGAACAGGGCACCTTTACAGTCAGAACTGCCCAGAACAGATAATACTGGTAATAAACTTATGGATCAGGTTAGTATGCAGGAAGACCCTCCTGGGAGGTTTGATAATGACAACAGCAGTGTGAGAGGAGAGTTTGTACCTCAGAACAACACGAAACCTCCATATCTCAGGTATTCCAGAAGAGTGGTCAACCCTCTGGATAGGTTGGATTTATAAGTTAATCTTTGTATTGGAATGATATAACCTGTTTTGATGATACTTTATAATGTAATTTAGAAGGGGTGGAATGTAAGGTGTTGGGAGAAGTGAAAGAATTAAATCCTATGTTATTTTGTTTATGCTTAATCATCTTTTGTTTCTGTGTTACTGTTATCTGGGGAACTTGAGAGAGTACAGTGTTGTTGTTACTTGGTCTTTTATTACCCCTCACAACCATAACTGGGATGTCAGACTCCACTAACAGGTTTATGACCTGGAACAA